CTAGATGAACTCTTTCATCTAGTTTTTATGACAGGATAGTGCAAAGCTTGTTTGGATTCTAAGTAAAGACTTCAAGGAGATAAAACTAGTGCACTTGTGATATTTTCTTAAACAGGAAAATTGATATAAAGATTAATCTCAATGTAGTGAAAACAAGTAAATTTTAATATTTCTATACTGTTTTACTGAGTTTTAAAACTAAAATGCTGGTTTTATTGCTAATTCTCTCCAAATACTTATGCAGCTGAGCAAGTTGATTAAGAAAGTGCTAAAAGAGAAAAATGTCGTTCTACAGCCTCAACAGCACCATAAAGCAGCATTGTAAGAGCTACAGTGTCAGCCAGGAAGCAACTAGAAGTGTTTTATTACAATGTTATGGGATTTGCAGTACTCTGAAGGTTGTGAACTTGTACTTTTGATACCGTTCTCAACTGTCTAGCATAAGGACAGGATGATGTGAAGAAAATGCAGAGGAGCCTTTCTGATAGTGTATTGCTGCAAGTGCTTGAATATGTACATACCTTTGTCCGTATTCTGAGAGAGATGTGAGGATGTTTTTCAGACAATTTGCTGCTATATGTATATTGGTGCAGACTGCTGTGTTTCCAGTTCAAAGAGCAGGAGGAAATTAAGTCTGTATGACGATGTAGAATCTCAAATGACGTAGCATACTGCTGCATGTATAATTTACTTAAGGGGTTGTTGGGAAGTTTTCCTTAAATATCTGACCTCTGTCCTATTCTTCTAGCTCTCTGAACTCCTATACTGTATGTTGCATTTGGGTTGTACCCTGGAATGACATAGGATGAATCATTACCCCTTAATTCCAAATAGTACTGAACCCTCTGTCCTCTGTTTGAGGTAGCATTTGTGTGCTGAAAAACCCCCCAACAGCTGCAATGAAGTTATCTGGCACACTGTAGATGCTCACAGTTGAGGAGTTGAAGTGCCTTCTGGAATTGGAGCTTTCGTGCTCAGAACATGGCAAGATCAAGGTCTTAGGAAGTACTGTTAGTATCTTAAAAGAACGGGAAAAGCTTCCCAATGTTGTATGGTTCTTTCAAGCTGCCTTTTGTGCCCTTTTACTGTATAGAATCTGGTATGAAATACCTCATTTTCTGATGCCTCAGCCACTTCCATGGTTGATGTACTCTGTCCAGTTGACTCATCACTGTGTTTTCTTGATGTCTAATTAAAATCTGTTCTATTCTAATACCAGACCAACACTTCTGTTATATCACTCTTCATTCTTAAGTAATTCAGCCTGCAACCTCCTTACTCTGTATGACTAATGTATTTTTCCAGATATTCTTAGAACATTTAAAAATGCCATCTATATTATAAGCAGCACAGTAGCAACACCTCTCATTACAATTGCTTAACACTTTCAGTTGTAACTTGGTGCTTTCTCTTGCTTGCGATTTTGACAAGACATTAACCTTTTTGGTGGAATTTTCCATGCATTCGTATTTGCCTCAGCCTGAAATTTTACTTGAGACTGATTTTATTTTTTTTTTGCTGAAAATCTAATCAGTATGTCATAGAGAAGACACTTAAAAGTCAGCTTCTGTTAGCCTCTCTCACAGAGAAGACATTTTTTTTTTCTTTTTAAAAGGATCCCTAGGCAGATGTGTATGGCTGAAATACAGGAATGATTGACCATTAGCATGAACATGGGAAGGGGAATGCTCTCCAAGAAGTCTGGGGAATGAATTTCAGCCGATTAGAAGCACTGAGAAGGAGCTGGTTGCTTACCTAATCCTTGGGCATTCAGGTTGTTCCTACAACCAAAACCAAACTTATCTAGCTTTAATTTTTTAAACAGATGTTCTCCATGTTTGCCCACCAATAACCACATTTCCCTTACAGTGGCAAGAAGGAAAAACTGAATTACAGTTATTTCTGCTTGTAAACAGAAACAGTTTATGTTCTCCTACAGGTTCTGTTCTATTTGTTTTTTTCATGTGTAAATAAGTCTCTGCCTGCCTAACCAGTGAAAGAAAACAGAATATGTGGATGGGAGGTATTTTGTTGTCAGTGAGCATTATTGCTGGCTGGTTTAAATCCTTCATATATGCTTGAATTCTTCAGTTTCACTGAATTTACTAAAGTAATATGCACCAAGAGATGAGCATACTTCAAAGCCTTTGTAAGGCACTGGGATTACGCTGTTCCCCATTCTATTAATTGCCATTTCAACTTTGTGTTACTGTTGAAATTTCAATGTAGGGCCTCAAAAATTGCTCCAGTAACAGAATTGCAGAGTGAACCTCAAGACCAGTATCTGCAGTGTAGAAGAAAAAAGGATGAAACTCATACACCCCCTGACACACAGAAAAGTTACTATTATTAGAAAGTCATTGAGAAAGATACATTAAGCACCTGATGGCAGCGGTAGTCAACACAAATTAATCTTGTTGCTAATGGACTCATAAACCCTTAATTCCTAAGAGGAAATTATGTATGAAGTTTAGATTGACTTCTGAGAAGGTGGTTGGGATGCTTTGTTCTCATCTTGCAGGTGAGGAGAGGCTGTAGACCTCTGCACTTTTCTCCCACTTTTCACAAGCCCTTGGCAGAAGGGAATGGAATTGCTTCATTTGCATGGAACTTCCTCTGACAGCTTGTGATCAAGATGGTGGTCATGTCAGCTGCACCCTGGTTTCTGTTGATCACTGGCAGGGTTGGGGAAAACTCTTAGTGAGTAACTAGTCAGGTGTGTGTCAGCCTTTGTGTGTTAGATTGCGTTTGTGAGAGTCCAGACACCAGCAGTAGACAAGATTTGAGACAAGGTGGAGCAGTAGCCTTATGTCATAATGCAAATGATCATTTTTGTTATAGGAGTGGCTGGTCTTGTTCATGTCTGGGTCCAGACAGAGCACGAGATTTGGTTGGGGGAAGAATTTTTTTTCCCCAAAAGCCAGACTTGAGAGAGGAACTCCTACTGCCCCTGGGTACATGATAGTGCTATAGACTGCATATAGGGATCTTGATCTGTATTATCAAATACATTGCTTGTCTTTCCAGAGGCCCTACAGGTTGCTGGTGGTTTTGTGTGTGGCACTTGATGCTTTTGGCTTCTAAGAGTTGAAATGCTTTAGATAAACTATGGTCTGTGGGATCAACACAGCAATGTTGGGGTAGGGCTTCAGAGCCTGTGGTGTGTTAATGTTCTAATTAGATGTTACAGAAATTCTGTCTGGCTTTGAATTTCACAAAGTGCAGCTTCAGTTCCTGTAGTTGATACAAAATAAAGCAGCCAGGCTGTCCTTTTCCAGCTCACTGATAGGGTTCTGGCTTGGTGCAGTAACCTGGTCTGATGTAAAAGCCTGAAGCTTAATCTCCATTTAAATTTGCTATGAAACTTACTGATGTAAGAGTCATCTTGGAGCGTTTTTGCAGCTGCAGATGTTTTTAACAGAGTTCTATACAAATTGCAAAGTAACTAGACTACCACCATCACACGTATGTTTTTTAAACTGCTGTTTTCTGGTATACTGGTAGTTCTCTTAATGAAACTTGCTTTAATGCTTTAACCTAACAAAATGAAGCTCCTGGGTTGAAAGACCTCACTTGTATCAAAAGTAGTCTATAACTGAACTGCTAGGAAGCTCAAAGGAAGAAAATCTTTGTGCCCTTGAGAGGAAAGGATAACTAATTTTATCACTTAATTATTTTGGGGAAAGCATTATCAGTGAACTGAGAGGATGCATCTGAAAAACTTCTACTGATGAGAGTAAAAGCTACCACTTCTAGCAGATTTCCAAGGAAAATGTATATACTTCTTGGATATTTAAATATAATAAGTTAGAAGTTTCTAGTTTATTTACAAGATACATTACCAGCTTAAATTTCACAAACCAGCTGTGCCCACCTGTGTTGCCTTCAAGACAGTTTAACAGCACCCAAAGGAAAAGGGAGGTATTCAGGTTTCCAGAGGTTTGTGTAATGGCATGTGTCGTCATCTTTGGGTGGCGTGACTGGTACCCCCGGCTCCTAACCCCTCTGTGGGATCTTTCTGTACTGACTGGCAAGGGGAGAAGTATTTGTGTTTAGGCTGACTTGCTTGAAGGTATTTTCCTCAAATTCACATAATTTGGATTATGACTTGATGACTTGAATTCAGTTCTGGAGAGGAGTTTGAGGCTTGGCTGAAATGTGTACCTAACTTGAGCTTGTTGCAGGTTTTCGTCTGGGCTGGAATGTGGGTTGCTGCTTCTAGTTAAAACTGATTTGAGAATATACTGTTTATGCTGTGTATGTATAACTCTTTTAACTGGAAGTCCAGAAGGGATGGCTTTTCATTAGTTACCTGCAGAGATCTACTTTATTAAGAAAATAAAGCTGTCAGTATGATTTTATCTATTTATTTTTTGATACCGGAAACCAAAGGTAAAAAGCATTGCTTTATGGATGTTATCTGTACTGGAGAATGAATTTTTGGGTATCAGCACACTTCAGCAGTGAACCTGATATAATATATGGAGAGAAGGGTGATCCATATACTGCTCTTCTGAGGGCTGTTACTCTGCTAACAGTTGTGACAGAAGGTAACTTCTATCAGGAAAACATAAACTGTGTGTTAAATAAAGGACATGCAGTGGATATCTCTATGGCAAAGAATGGGAATAGAGAAGAACTTTTTATTATTCAGAATAAGCTCTTTTGTGTGTGCTTCTGTTAAGCTATGTCCTTTATATTACCAAAGTGTATATTGTGTACAGAATGTTCGATTTATGCAGCTTTACTGACATGGTTTCGTTTATAGCCCTGGCCACCCTACAGATGTTCTGCTGGAAAACAAGTTAATGAAGTTTGAGTTGAAATAGACCATAATATGTCTTTACTTTCTTTTTCTTCTGTTCCCAGCAGCATGTTTTTTGCTAGGTTTTTGAAGCTTGATAAGAAGCATCAAGAAATGTTGTTCTTGTTTTGAATTGATGTCCAGATTTTCCAGGAACCTATTGAATAAGTAATTTTGAAATGTGTTCTGTATTTAGAAACTGGTAAGGTGTTCACCTGGGGCAGAGCAGACTATGGACAACTTGGAAGGCACGCAGTGGTTCCCAGTGGGCAGGAGGCTTGCACAGCATCTGAGCAACGGTTGGAGTGGTTGTGTAACATCCCTGTTTCAGTGCCTTGCCTAAATGGAGCATCTCAGGTAAAAAATAAAATCACCATTTTTTTCCCCAGTTTTTTATTTTGTTTTTTGTTGTGGTTTTTTTTTTTGTGTGCGTTAAAATAATCAAAGCAACTTCCTAATAGAACCTTTTCAGATGCCGCAGCATGAGTCCTCACTGCTTTTCCTGTAAGCTCAGTATGTTTCAGTTATTTAAAATTTATTAAAAGGCTTTTGCATTAAGAAACTGACTTTTTCCTTGTTGGAACCAGAGTTACCGTTAGATGGGGATGCCAAGCTCTCTCAGGTACCGATGTGTGCAGGAGGCAACAGCCTAACAGATGAGGTGAGACCCTGCCCAGTTGCAGCAATACTTTTGTCTGTAGTCCTCTGTGACAGTTTAGCCTATGGCCTTTCCCTAGCTGATAAATAATGCCACATCTCAGCACCAGGCTATATAAGCATATAATGAATATTTCTCTACCTTATAACATCCTTGAGTGGTATTTCAGGTTTTCATTTCAAATGGCTAACTTAGAATCATAGAATAGTTAGGGTTGGAAAGGACCTTAAGATCATATAGTTCCAACCCCCCTGCCATGGGCAGGGACACCTCACACTAAACCATATCACCCAAGGCCTCGTCCAGCCTGGTCTTGAACACTGCCAGGGATGGAGCATTCACAACCTCCCTGGGCAGCCCATTTCAGTGCCTCACCACCCTAACAGGAAAGAATTTCCTCCTTATATCCAGTCTAAACTTCCCCTGTTTAAGTTTTAACCCATTACCCTTTGTCCTATCACTGCAGTCCCTAATGAAGAGTCCCTCCCCAGCATCCCTCTAGGCCCCCTTCAGATACTGGAAGGCTGCTATGAGGTCTCCATGCAGCCTTCTCTTCTCCAGGCTGAACAGCCCCAACTTTCTCAGCCTAACTTGATACAAAATGATTTATCTTCAAGCATAAAGATGGTCAGAAAGAAAGCGACTCAAATTGTTTGCTCCAGTCTGACACAACATGCAACCTGTACTGACTGCGAGCCATTTTCTTGGCATTTTGTTGACTGAGAAGCATCATATTTCAAGTGACCTGTTGGCAGGCAATGCACACGTCCCATCTGGGCAGATAACCAGTCAGAAGGTATGCATTTCCCTGTGGGGTAGCTAGGAGTCAGCTTCAGCAAGCCAGTCAGCAGGCTTCAGCTGCACCTCTGCTTTGTGGTAGTCTTCAATGGTGAGGGTTTGGATAGAAGAGTCAGCCTCTGCCCTTTCCCATCATCAGTGGGATGTGTGCACTCACAGATGTGAAGTAGAGCTTCAGAGTGCAGGATGCTGCACTAATGAATAATTTGTTTAGTCAGTGGTGACTCCACTTGAGTCTCACACAGCTTTCTTACTTTGAGATATCTATCCCTGCTTTTGTCATTAGGTATCTTTAGTGAACAACACCATTGTTGAATCTATTTCATGGTGGTTTTCATCTGTGCTTTGTGCAGTGCTTGAAGTACGTGTTTTTGTTGTTTCTCATACAATACAAAGCCAAGGCAGTTGTAGCTTTTGCACAGAGGAACTTACACTTGTTCGGCCGAGTGATCTGTGAAGGTTAAGGGATACATTCAGATATAGTCAACCAGTCTCACCTTCATTCTGCTGCCCTCAGCGATATTCCTCTTTATAAGCTTATGAGAGACCTGGTTTGAGTGATTAGCTATGGCAGTGTTCTGGAGCACACATCATTCTTTACAGGGCTAACAGCATGAAGATGATTTAAGAAGAGTGTGATCAAGAGCTAGCATCATTTGTACCCTAAGAGGAGCTGTGTTGATGGGAAAAGCAAAAAGCAGATGATAAGAGCCTAAATTGCTTCACTTCCAAATTACAAACTTAATGCCAGAGCTAAAATTTATACTTAAAAATGCATTAAATTGCAGCATGTAGGCTGTGTGGAGTGTGAGCTATTTCTTGTTTACATACAAGCTATCCCTTTGTACATTTGTTGTCATACGGAGATGAGCTTTGATTTGAGAGCTGAATTAAAAGGAATACAGGAATACAGGAAATCCATGTTTACCTTGGATTAACAATTCCAATTTGTATGTTTAATGCAGAATGCCATTCTAACAGTTCAGGATTACAACTAACAATTTTTATCCATGGCCTATTTTTATAAATAACTTTTAAATGATTCAACTGAACTTTTGGCAAAGTTGTGGTCTGCTGATTACCTCTGCCCTTCAGTTAATATTGCTAGAACCAAAATGGAGAAACTAATCTAAGGATTAGAGGACACTATAAAAGGCACACTAGTTTACCTCAAGGACAGTGCAGTAGATTTAACCTCCTGTGCTGCTCCTTGTCTCCATGCTGATGGCTTACCTGCTTCTCCTCCACAGACCACAGATTCTCCTTTCTCTGTGCTGAAGTAGATATTATGTCTGTGCTGAAAATGATATCTGTGTCTGTCTACCACTCCAAAACCTGATTTTTGTGAGTGGCTGTGAGTGACCTATTCCATTGTGAGTTTGACTTAATCTGAAAAACTCATTTGGAAACTCTGACCTTGAGAAATATGAGCACTCTTTTTCTTTCAACTGAAACGATAGAAAAGCCTTATATCTAGTTTTAGAGAATTATTTACTCATTTGTGTCCTGGCAGCTTTAAACAGTGTGTGGACATCAGGTTCCTAGAGTCTCACGTGTTTAAACTTTTTGAATTATGCAGCTGCAGGTCTATTTATTATTTTCTTCTCAGTGCATTGGTGCATAACCACCATGGAATAGGGTAAGGCACTGAAAAGAAACTTCAGGCTGTAGCAGAAGTCAGTTGTGCAAGACATTCTGCGTGCAGTGCTCTTGTGTTGTGGGTTGTCCTTGATTGGACCTCTTCAGAACATCTGACTCATCTGCTGCCTGATGTGCATTCATATCCACTGCTCTTCAGATGAAAGGACAATTACAAATACAAATGTCCTGAAATATGATGAGCCTCTGTATTTAGCAAATGCTACAAAGACCTGGTTTAATGTTTCCTCCTCGTCAAAATGCTTTTCCAGTCCATTTTATATTTTTGGTTTTAATAGCTATTGTTTTACTGTTTGTGGTACATTTAGCATGTCATTCACGTTGCAGCGAACATTTGTTGCAGGAATACACAAGTAAGAGGTCACTGTGCAGTGCTGAATATTTATTGCTAAACTGGATGCAAGGAAAGTCTGCAGTTGCAGCACTGCTTGCATGGAGTTGTGTTTTCATCCTATTCTTTCTTAAAGCAAGCTGTGCTAAAGTACAGTTTTCTGAAAAAGGATCTTTGAAATTTCAATTGAGAAATGAAAAAAAAATATCTTTCACATGGTCACCTTTGGGCTTAATTCCTTCCTCAGTTTTACCATCTCCCAGCTGAAATCTTGATGGTGAATGTAGGGACCACTTGTTTCATGGAATGAAAGTAACCGATGGCCTTGTGGCAACCTGTACCTGCTATGTTTATCGTAATCCTACTGTGGTCCCCAGTTCCAGTGTGTACGTTTGTCCTTGTGTGTATATTCATCCTGTACAATACAGATTGGTTTGGATCCTCCTTATGGTCCCTTTTTTCAGGGAATGCTATCATATAAATAACACATTTGTCGTTGCCCTTTGCAGTCACAGTTTAGGGTGGTAGTTGCAGCAATGTGTCATTTCGAGTTTTTAAGCAATAGCTTTGTTTTTAGCATATTCTTGTGTTTTTCCCCTTTTTTCCCCATTCACGTTGCAAAATACTTACAAATCTAAGATATCTGCTATGATGATAATTGATTGTTATATGGCTGATAAGTAAAGGTATAAGCATCATTATTACCTTAACATACAGACACAATTATATTGAAAACAAAACCTTTTGGTTTACAAAAAATGACAAGTGTTTTGTATTCTTTTGACTTCTTGGGGAAAACCATTAGACCTTTTTGTAAGTAAAGTGTAGTGGAGGCTTTAAAGGATATTAAAAGAAATAACCTGATAGTATTACATGTACATTATCTCTGTGCTCTGTGCGTGGCTTTTGTATACTCAGTTGTCTGACTGGGTACTGTAAGTATCTGTGGCTATGTTCTTTATTTTAAGTTGTCAAAACAAGAGTTTAATGTTTTTGTGGGGGTGAAACAACAAATTGAACTTTTCTAAGCAAGAGTTTACTGCTCGGAGTTTGAGAATATATGTGTAGTAATTGATCTGGTAAGCTGCTTGAGAGAAACCAGTTTGGGTGTTAGGGAAGGAGGTAAATGCACAAAAGTCTTCTCTAGCTTTTTGAGCTCAGTACCTTTTAGATAATCCAAGGATACAGTTCACTAGAAATGGTGGTGTGAAAAACTAAGTTTCAGTGAACTCCTCCTTGTTCTCTGATTTGCCAGCTTGCCTCAGAACCCCTAACTGTGCCACAGAAACAGATGTGGGCCCTGGGAAGACTCATAGTAAAAGGTGATTCTTACTTTGCCATACTTAAAGAAAGCAAGCAGGGAATGGGAGTGGAAATAGAGAAATGATATGACTTCAGGTGCAACACCAAGTGAGCTGCAAAGTTGAGAAGAGAACCTGGGTGCTACATATTTAAATCCAGCCCTTTACTCATTAAACTTTCTCTCCTGTGATATCACTAGAAGGGAAAGTTAGTTGAAATCTTTGTGTTCTAGACAGGACAGGTTATTATTTGTGTTATGTTTCAGTTAGTGTGTTGCTTTCCCTGGTTGGTTGTTTAATGCTGTTAGATCTGTCTAGTGATCCTTCACAAGGAGAGGCTTCCATAGAAGTAAAGGTAAAGGTCAAATCATCTTTTATTTTGGGTTTCTGAGCTCCATTAAGTAATGGATCTCCATTTGTGAGATCAATTAAGTGAATTAATCTCTTTCTTAAGTTGGAGTTTCTCACTTCATAAGCAAGTAGTGCAGTGTTGGTTTTCTGATTTTTTTTTTTTTAAGTTTTTTTTTTTGTCATGAATTCGAATCTTTTACAAGTTGGTTTTGATCTGTGTCTTCGAGAAATGGCAACATTGAAGTTTCCTTGATTGGTG